AGAAATTTGATCTCCAATGTGGCAGTGTTGGAAACTAATTGAGTCATGGGGGCGGATCCCTCATGAATGGATTAATGCTCTTCCTGGGGGAGGGGGGATTAATGAATGAGTTCTTGCTCTCTTAGTTCCTGCAAGAGCTCGTTGCTTAAAAAGACCCTGGCACCTTCTCTCTCTCTCGTTTCCTCTCTCTTGCTTCCTGTTGCCATGTCATCTGCTTGTACCTGCCGGCTGCCTGCCACTTTCTGCCATGAGTAGAAGCAGCCTGAGGCCCATGCCAGATGCAGCTGTCCCAGAATCGTAAGCCAAATAAACCTCTTTTCCTTATAAATTACCCAGTCTTGGGTATTTCTGTTATAGCAACACAAAACGGACTAAAATAGAAGAATAAAATTGGCATGTGTGGAGGAGAGGAGACAAAAGACAGATGTCCTGTCTGTATCTTTTTTTGATTATTTATGCTAAGCCCATTTGTCATTGAAACTAAAGAATTCTCACTGATCTGGTGGCCCTCATTCTAATCTCTTTCAACCTGCACATTCCTCTTGTGCACTCCCACAACGTCCCATGGCCACTGCCAGGATCACAGCACTGCTGAGTCCCAAATTAATGTCTCCAAACCCTCATTCCTATCCTAAGCTCCAGACCCACCAATGCCCCATTTCTCTGGACATCTCCAGCCATGCAGGGAAGTGCCACGGACACATCAAACTCAATGTGACCGTAGCACCTCATCTCCTTGGTCCCCAAACCTGCCCTTTTTCTTATGTTTTTTAACTCAATGAATGAAACTAGCAATTGCTGAAGAAAATACTTGAGCCATCCTATTCTTCACATCCAAATGATCACTAGGACATGAAGATTTTGTCTATATGTGGTCCACGAGAAACCCACATTAGATATAATGACACAGATAGATTAAAGGGATGGAGAAAGGAGTACTATGCTAACACTAATCAAAAGAAAGCTGGAGTAGCTATACTAATTTCAGACATAACAGACTTCAGGGCAAGGGAAAATTATGAGGAATAAAAAGGTGCATTATGTATTGATAAAGGGATAAATTCGCAAAGAAGATATGACAGTCCTTAACATGTTTGCACATAACAACAGGGTGTCAAAATACATGAGGCTGGGCTGAGCCCATGGCGCACTCAGGAGAGTGCAACGCTGGGAGCACAGCAGCGCTCCCGCCGCTGGTTCGGATCCTGTATAGGGATGGCTGGTGCGCTCACTGGCTGAGCATGGTGTGGCCGGTCTCAAAAAGGAAAAAAAAAAATACATGAGGCAAAAACTATAGAACTACAGGGAGAAATAGATGAATCCACTACTGTAGTTGGAGACTTCAACACTCCTCTATCAGAAATGGACAGATCCAGCTAGCCGAAAATTGGTAAGGACACAGTTGAACTTAACAGCACCATCAATCAACTATATGTATATATATATTTGACTTGTATTGCATATGTATATGTATGACTTTATTGACTACACATTCTTCTCAATGTATATAGAATATACATTCCCTATAGAATATACATTCTTCTCAATCTCACATGGAACATTCACCAAGATAGACCACATTCTGGGCCATAAAACACACCTCAACAAATTTAAATAGAAATTATGCAAAGTATGCTCTCAGACTATGATGAAATTAGAGATTAATAACAGAAAGATAACTGGAAAATCCCAAAAGATTTGGAAATGACCGGTAAGGGAATCTTAACCCTTGACTTGGTGTTGTCAGCACCACACTCTCCCAAGTGAGCTAACTGGCCATCCCTATACAGGGATCTGAACCCATGGCCTTGGTGTTATCAGCACCACACTCTCCCGAGTGAGCCATGGGCCAGCCCTAAGATAAATACTTCTAAATAACACATGGGTCAAAGAAGTCCCATAAAAAATTTTAAAATATTTTCAACAAAATGAAAATGAAAATGCAACTTATCAAAATTTGTGAAATCTGGGCCAGCCCGGTGGCGCACTGTTACAGTGCGCTGCTTGGGAGCGCGGCGGCGCTCCCACCAAGGGTTCGGATCCCACATACGGACCGGCCGCTCACTGGCTGAGCGAGGTGCAGGCGCGACACCGAGGGTTGCGATCCCGTTGCCGGTCACGGTCCAGTACGGGCGTGACACTGAGGGTTGCGATCCATTGCCGGTCACGAAAAAAAGACAAAAAGGAAAAAAAAATTGTGAAATCTGGTGAAAAAAATGCTTACAGGGAAATTTATAGCAATAAATGTATATATTACAAAGAAGAAAGATCTAAAATCAATATAAGCTTTCACCTTAGGAAACTAGAGAAAGAAGAGCAATATAATCTTAAAGTAAGAAAAAGAAAAAATAATAAAAATTAGAGCATAAATCAATGGAATTAAAAACAAGAAATCAAAAGAGAAAAGTCAATGAACCCAAAAGCTTTTTTGAAAACATCAACAAAATTGATAAACTTCTAATCAAGCTAACCAAGAAAAACAAAAAGACACAAATATCAGAAAGGAAAGATGAGACATCACTACTGATCCCATGGACATTAAAAGGATAATAAAGGACTATTGCAGACAATTCTATAGACACATTTTGTCATTGTATCATATCCCCTGTACCTGTGAGAAATTTGAGAGCTGGCTGTGCCTTACTCATACTAGAAGGGACTCAGGACATGCTTGCTGAATGAATGGATGGGTGGGTGAATTGATGGCTGAATTGGTGGGTGGGAGGATGGGCTGGTAGCTGGTTAGATGATGGATGGATAGATGGCCTGGTGAATGGGTGGTTGTGTGGATGGGTTGGTGGATGGGTGGACGGATGGATGGATGATGGATGGATGCATGGATATATGGGTTGGTAGACGGGTTGGTGGATGGGTGGTGGATGGATGAATGGATGGATGGACTTGCCCAGGAAGGCAGGTGAGGCATTCCCCCTGAGGGGAAGCACTGATATACTTGAAAGTTTCTGTTCCTTGGAAGTAAGATGGCCCTCCTTAGCCCAGGCTCCCTTGTCAAGCTCTGAAGCAGATCAGTGTGGCTGAGCCCATGGGGGTCAGTGTCCTACCTAACCCCAGAAACCAGAATAAGGGTGACCATCACCTCAGAGAAGAAGATTGTCCCCACAATCCCACTGTTGCACCATATCCTGCAGATATACTTGTAAAAGTTTACTGAGGTAGATGTACAAGCATTGAGTGTAATAGCAAAAAACTGAAACAGTGTAGTGTGTAAACAGTGAGTGAGTTCTCACTCTATTAGTTCTCACTAGAGCAGATTGTCAAAAGGAGCCTGGCACCTCTCTCTCTCTCTCTCTCTCTCGCTTCCCCTCTCACCATGTGATCTTGTACCCACCAGTTGCCCGCCATGAGTAGAAGCAGCCTGAGGCCCACACCAGATGCAGCTGTGCCAGAATAGTGAGCCAAATAAACCTCTTTCTTTATAAATTACCCAGTCTCAGGTATTCTCTTATAGCAACACAAAAATGGACTAGTACAGGAGCTATCCAGAGAAAAGATTTTCCTGAGATGCATTTTCATGCAATGCTGTCAGCCTGCCTAGAAAGAGGTTGGAAGAGGTAGCCATTGAAAAGTCCTCCTTCATTGTAGAGATAGCCCTTGAGAAGCTCCCTTTCATTGTAGGCATAGCCCTTAAGCCTCTTCATTGTAGAGATAGCCCTTAAGAAGCCCTTCTTCCTTGTAAAGATGTTCCTTAAGCCTCTTCATTGTAGAGATAGCCATTTAGAAATCCTTCTTCCTTGTCAAGATAGCCTTTGAGAAGTCCTCATTATTGTACAGCTAGCCTTTGACATGCCCTCTTTCACTGTAGAGATAGCTTTTGATAAATCTCCTATATTGTAGGGAGTCTCTAAGAAACCCTACTTCATTATAGAGATAGCCCTTGAAAAATCATCCTTCATGGTAGACATAGCCTCCCTTCATTATAGAGTTCTTGAGAAGCCCCACTTCATTACACAGTGCTTGAAAAACCCTCCAGCATCACAGACATACCCCTTAAGAATTCCCCTTCATTGTAGAGATAGCCCTTGAGAAAGCTCCTTTATTGTAGAGTGACCCCTTGAGGAGCCATCCTTCACTGTGGGGATAGCTTGTGAGAAGCCCTCCTTCATTGTAGAGATAGCCAGTGAGAAACCTTACTTCATTGTAGAGATAGCTCTTAAGCATTTCAATGTAGAGATAGCCCATGAGAAGCTCTACTTTATTGTAGAGAAAGCCCCTGTGAAACTATCCTTCATTGTAGAGATAGCTCTTGAGAAGCCCTCCGGCGTTATGTATACATAGCCCTGGATATGACCCCATTCATTGTAGAAATAGCCCATGAGGTGCCCTCTTTCACATAGAGATAGCTGCTGAGAAACCCTCCTCATCGTAGAGAGATCCCTTAAGGAACCTTTGTTTGTAGAAATTCTCCTTCATTTTCTACAAATAGCCCTTGAGCTCCTTCACTGGGCCCAGCAGACCAAACAAAAATGGAGTCACTCATGCTGACGTTCCACACCACCAAGCCGAAACTAAGATCTTTATTTGATCTTCCAAGAAATCAGGGGAGAGAGAGAGATGACAGCCAAATCCCCAAACAGCCCAGCTTTAGCCAGCATGATAAGAAAATCCCCACTGCTTTAACCTTTATAAGAAAAGTAACTTTGAAATGACCAGTCAGCTTTGTTTTCAGTTTCTGTTTTCCTCAGCCATTTTCTGTCTATAAAACCAACCTCCTCTGTTTGGCTCATTGGAGCACTCATTCTATTTTATAGAATGAGGTGTTGCCTCGTTCTAGAAGTGTAAATAAAAGCCAATTAAGATCTTAAAGTTAAATTAACATTGTCTTTGGTCACATGTAAAACACAAAGTTATATCAGTGCATACATGTAACTGGGAGACATCCATCCTGCTTGGCCACCCGTCTGCAGAGGCCCATGCTAAAGGCTGAGGGTGTGGCAGGCCCAAGACAGAGGCCTGTGGAGCAGTCCTCTGAGAGGCGGCACCTGATGGGCAAACAGCGGGGTGCCCGATGGGCCCAGGGAGACGAGGAAGGCTTCGGGCCTAAAGAGCTGTTGAGCGGGGTGGTCCTTAAAGATTTGTTGGGGGAGTATGCGGCGGCACCTGATGGGCAAACAGCGGGGTGCCCGATGGGCCCAGGGAGACGAGGAAGGCTTCAGGCCTAAAGAGCTGTTGAGCGGGGTGGTCCTTAAAGATTTGTTGGGGGAGTATGTTCCAGAGCCACACTCAGAGTTCTGGTTTTCTTTGAACTAAAACCCTGAACAGAGTTCAGGGGTCTTATGGATTAGACCCCAGAATTCAAGTCCAGAGTTACAAAGTGGAGCCTAAGGGGGAGGCCTCGTCGTGCGGATCACGTGCGCCCAGTTTGGAAGATTTCGGATGCGGGCCCACCTGCCAGCTGCCTCATCTCCATCAGTCCCTCCCGATCTCCGATCTCCGTGTCTCAAATTTCCTCCTCAGTGAAGGTGAGATGAGATGTACGCTATGCTGACAGCTCCCAGGAGGAAGTGCATGTGAGCCCACATAAGCCCACAGTGCTGTCCCTCTCCTCAGACACCTCTTTCCCTCCACAACCCAACAGCCCCACCCCAGGAGGCTTGGAAGCTGGTCAGTTGTATCCTGCCTTACCCCAGGGGCCCAGGCCTTTCAGAAGTTTCTAAGTGCAGTTGTCCAAGGTACAGTGGGTAAGTCAGATAAGCCTGGGCTTGGAGTTGTGCCCAGTGCTTCTTGTGGGCACCTTGACTTCCCCGGTCCTCAGTCTCCATGTCCATAAAAAGGAGGCAATATTACCACAGTGCTGCGAGGACACAGTGAGATGCCACTGTGTATGGCACAGCGGACGACTGGCAGGTGCCTGGTCATCAGTACTTTGGCTGTCCTTGATACCCGGCGATTCCGCAGCGAGGCCCTCCAGCTTTAAGGAGGCTGCTGGGCTGGGGGCAGCCCCGGCACCTGCCATTTCTCTCTGTCAGTGAGTTTGCCCTCTTACAGCCAAGGGCCAGGACTGCTGCTCCTCCTGCTCCTCCCCTCCTCCTTGGCCCCCCAGGGTCAGCCCTGGTTCCCAACAGACCGAGTCCTTGTGCTGAGGTTTCTGGTTTCCAAAGCTACTGAAGGGCATCTCCAGCTCTCTACCCCACAGGCCTATCCCACCTTGTTCCCAGGTCTGTGCCTCCTGCCCTGCCTCCCGCCAGCGGCCCTCCTCCCCTCCTCCCAGGTGGCAGAGCACACCCCTGGTGCTCCCTTACCTTGTCAGGATGGGATCCAGCTGACTCCCTCCGCTCTGCCCTGGGCGCCTTGAATGAGACCAGAAAGGCAGTGCCAGGGATCCGGGCGTGTCAGAGAGTGAGGGACAGAGGAAGAGGTGGAAGGGCCCCAAGACGAAATGGCGAGCACGCCAGGCCCATGTAATTTATTACAGGACTTTGTCCTCGGGCTCCAGGCACATCCACTCCCACATGCCTCCTGCAGCGCCAGCCTGGCGTGTCAGAGAGTGAGGGACAGAGGAAGAGGTGGAAGGGCCCCAAGACGAAATGGCGAGCATGCCAGGCCCATGTAATTTATTACAGGACTTTGTCCTCGGGCTCCAGGCACATCCACTCCCACATGCCTCCTGCAGCGCCAGCCTTCAGAGCCTCACCACCATCTGCTCTTTTACTTGGCAGCAGAGCACAGATGCTGCCTCTCTGCAGACCTTTGCAGTCTGCACTCTGAGCTCCTGCTTCTCCTCACCAGCCACATCCATGGTGGCAGTCAGCTGCTCACCCAGGGGGCTCCAAGGAAGCCCATGGCAGGAGCTCTGCTTCCAAGCACCCCAAGTTTTAATTAGGGGCTGCCTTATAATATGAAATATATTTGGTCTTTGTCCCTGCCTTGTTCCTGTCACAGAGCTCCTAAAACCCTTAGAATTTCCAGAATGACTGATTGTCTTTTGTTATTCATAATGAGTCCCTATGATAACACCTGATTTATCTTACGAGGTGATAGGGTAGGGCCCCTAGATAGCCTCAGGAGGGGGCCAGTCACCAGAAAGACCAAGTGAGTAGAGGGCTGGAACTTTCAGTCCCACCTACCAACCTCTGGGAAGGTAAGACTCTTGAACAAGAAGTAATGAGCTACTGGATAGCTGAACACATGCAGGAGGAGAGAGAAAGGAAAGAAAGAAAAGAAAGAAAGAAGAAAAGATAAAGAGAGAAAGAAAAAGAAGGAAAGAAGGAAAAGGAAGGAAGGAAAGAGGAAAGAAGGAAGCAAAGATAGAAAGAAAAAGCCCCTAAATGAATAAAGAAAGAAAGAAGGAAGGAAACGGGAAGGGAGGGTGGGGTTAAGGGAAGGTTAGGAAAGGTTAAGGGGAGGTTAAGGGAAAGGTTAAGGGGAGGTTAAGGGAAGGTTAGTGAAGGTTAATGGAAGGTTAGGGAAGGTTAAGGGAAGATTAGGGAAGGTTAAGGGAAGGTTAAGAGAAGGTTAGGGAAGGTTGGGGAAGGTTAAGGGAAGATTAGGGGAGGTTAAGGAAAAGTTAAGGGAAGGTTAAAGGAAGGTTAATGGAAGGTTAGGGAAGGTTAAGGGAAGATTAGGGAAGGTTAAGGGAAGGTTAAGAGAAGGTTAGGGAAGGTTGGGGAAGGTTAAGGGAAGATTAGGGGAGGTTAAGGAAAAGTTAAGGGAAGGTTAAAGGAAGGTTAATGGAAGGTTAGGGAAGGTTAAGGGAAGATTAGGGAAGGTTAAGGGAAGGTTAAGAGAAGGTTAGGGAAGGTTAGGGGAGGTTAAAGAAAGGCTAAGGGAAGGTTAAGGGAATGTTAAGGGAAGGTAAGGGAAGGTTAGTGAAGGTTAGTTAAGGTTAGTGAAGGGAGGTAGGAAGAAAGAAAACGTCCCCCAGGGCCCCCTTGGCCTGGCCTGGTCTTCCTCTAAGAGAGCCCCTGGCCTCACCTGTCCTGCCACTAAGGGCACCTCTGGCGTTTCCTGGCCTGCCACTAAGGGCTTCCCTGGTCAGGCCTTTTTATGGCCCCACTGCCACTAAGGGCAGGCCTGGCCAGGCCTGTACCAGAGACCCACTGCCTCAGAGCTGCCCTGGCCTGACCTGGCCTATCCTTAGAATCCTGTAGGCCGGGCCTGTCTGGCCCAGGCTGTCCCAGAGCCAAGGATTATCCTGGCCTGCCCTGGGCTGTCCCCAGGGTCCTGCTGGCCTGTTCTGGCCTGGCACTATGGGCAACCTCTGTCCTGGCCTGGTGCTAAGGGCATCCCTGCCTGGGCTTGCCTTCCAATAAGTGCTCCCATGGCCTGATCTGCCCCTAGGGCCTACCTAAAAATCCTATTCTATGATCAAAGGAGAATCAAGATTTCTAACCCACTACACATCCATGGGACAATGTGTGGCTCCTTCCACTCCTGTCCAATGTCCGAGCCCACTGTAGCATTGTCATAGCAACTAAAACTGAGCACAGCAAGCACTTCATTCCAGCTCTACCAACGCATCATCGAACAACCTGTGGTCATGTGCTTCCTGGTGGCCCTAATCTTCCCATCCAGCCTATTGCAGCCAAGTTATCCATTAACCCTATAAAATAGCATAGCTGTCAGCATAGATCTCTGTGACTGAACCACTCTTTTGAACATTTTAGAATTGTCAATCTCAAGGATTAGTGTTTAATGAGTGTTTTCTCTGTGCTTCTATCATCTCATTCAACCCATATCAAAACACTTCAGGGGCCGGCCCAGTGGCGCACTGGAGAGTGCGCCGCTTGGGAGTGTGGCGGTGCTCCCGCCGAGGGTTGAGCGTGGTGCGGGCACAACACCGAGGGTTGCGATCCCGTTACTGGTCAGTAAAAAAGACAAAAAGGAAAAAAAAAAAAAAAAACCACTTCAAATGAGGAGTGCTTATCCTCATCTCATAATAAGGAAGTTAAAGCCAAAGAGGGTAAGAAACTTGCTTAGGTCACACAGCCAAAAGTGGCAGAGACAAGATTGGAATCAGGTTTGGCTAACCCCACATGGCCAGTGCTGACTGCAGTGCACTACACCACACCAACCCTCCCACACCTGACTCCCTCCTCCCCAACCCCATGATGGATGAGACATCCTATTTTTAGATATTTTCAGAGGAGTTTCCCCAACTTGCTGGTCCTGGCCCAGGGTCTTAATTCTCTCCATTGTTTCCTTGCTCTCTGAGATGCTAGGGCAGAGAAGCAAGGTTTGAATACTTCCCTGAAAGCACAGTTGTGCACAGTAGATCACAGGGCACATTCTATCCATGCAGTTCAGGGTTTCTTACCCTTGGTGCTTATGACATTTCGGGCTGATGATTCTTTGTTAGGGGGATAGGAGGAGCTGTCCTGTGCACTGTAGGATGTTTAGCAGCATCCCTGGCCTCTACCCATTAGAAGTGTCCCTCCTCAGTGGTGACAGATCAAAATGTCTCCAGATATTACTGCCACATGTCTCCTGGGGAGAAAGTCACACCCAGTTGGGAACTAATGTATAGTTCATAGTTCCAGATACACTCAAGGCTGGGAGAAAATGGAGGCCAGTAAGGGCCAAAATGTTTGTCCTCCTGGAAGAGGTGACCCTGGCCCTTGGTCCCCATGAAAGGCAGGATGATGTGGCTCAGAGGGAGTGTGCAGGGAAAGGGCCATTTGCACGGTGCTTCCTAGATGATCTTGGTTTCAATGTGCCAAGGAAATGACGGTGCTGTCATCCTCCTGGATCAGCATCTGGAGATAGCCATTTCTAGACTGAGCCGACCTTGTATCCAAAGTCCTGATAGGCCAGGTAGGCATCCACCATCTCAGCCTAAGGAGGAGGAAAGGACTCAGTTCTGGTGGTGCTTTATCACCATATTCCCTCTGAGGGGCCCACCCAGAGGATTGCCCAAGGCAGCAGGAGGGAGAAAGGAAGGGCACAATGAAAGGGTCACTTTCTCCTCTCCAAAGAATTTTGGGCAGTCCAGTGAACAAACCTCAGTCTTGGACACTGGCATTTAAATTTGGTTATAAACAGGGAGCCTCTGTCTCATGACCAGCGTTGATGGCATCCTTGTGACTAATCTTATTGCCCTGGGGAGATTGAGGTACTGGGAGGGAAAAGCAAAATGTGGTTATGTGGCAACTCAATCAACTCAGTAAATGATTCTGATGATCCTGATTATGACAATAGTAATGACACTTCACCCAGCACTTGGAATAGGCTGAGGGTGAGAGGCTTAGACTTGTTGCTAGGAGCTTCATTTCTGGGAATAGAGGCACTGGGATGAATTTCTTCCCCCTGCCTAGAATGCTCTGTGTGCACCAAGAGCAGTTTCCTTTGCCTGGTCCCATGACTGGAATACTCTTCCCAGCCTCACTCCCAGTTAGGAGCGGCCATGGAATAAGGGTAAGTGATATACTCCACTTCCAAGCTGGGCCCATGAAAACCTCCTGTGCCATACTGTACCCTCTCCTCTTCCATCTCTGGTGGCACACGGAGCATCTGGTAGTGGATTCTGAGGCCCTAGGGAATGGAAAAAGCCTGGCTCCCTGAATGATTGTAGGGAGCGGAGTGCCACCTCCACCCTGCCCATTGATTAGAGCAAGAAACAAACTTTTATTGTGTTAAGCCACTGAAATTTGTTGTTGTTGTTATAACAACAATATTACTACATGGTAGGTAATTAACCTACCATGATTAAAACATGATCCCTCTTCCATCAAAATCTGCCTTTGTCCTTCAAATACCAACTCAAACACCCTTGTCCCAGGAAGGTTTCTCTGACTGCTACAGTTCACTCTAGCCTTGCCATCCT